TCCATGTGCCTTATCATGCAATTGCTAGAAGATGGACTTTTAAGGGTCCGGTAAAGGAAGAGCTCGATGACAGTGATATCGGACTCCGAAATGAGTAAAACTGCGTTCTATCAACTGCCTCTAGGGATTTAGCGTTCACTGTAGCAGCCGTCTAACTAATCGTTTAAACACTAACGAAAATGTCCTTCCATCCATTCCTTTTTATTTGATTTTGATGTTTTACTCAAATTTTATCCATTTACTAAACGCGGAGAGAGGTGAAAATGCCACAGATTTTCATTCACCTCCAATGCTACGGGTTGTCACCATCACCTGACTTTTAACTAGTGGCACAATCGATGCAGCCACTCCATCAGATTAACTTTTCCAACACGATGATGTCAATCGGCGTTTTTAACTCTGCGATAGCCCTTTCATTTGCTTATGTGGCAACCACTTTTTATGGCCCTTTTCCAAGGTCTTTGATCTCCACTTTTCTTTACAATGTGGAACCTGGAGAGGCTGCAGTTCCACCCACACCACTAACAATAATGACATGCAGGTTGCTGCACCTCATCTAAAAGTACCTGAGGTCGACGATAATGTAAGGGGAAGGGAGGCGAGGTTAAGAAATGTGTCGATTATAAACTTCATCCGATTCCAAAAGTTGATTCCAACACCCTCTCGGGGCCACCGATTAGGCAATGACACATGGAAGACCTCATCGTTCAGTAGCAACTACTTAGATTTTCAGCCACACGGAGGACCTGCAAGCAAGAGAAGGCGGGGGCCAAATGCATGCCTGAAGCCAGACAAGAAAATTTACATCAGAGAGAGAGAGAGAGGGAGAGAGAGAGAGACGACACCAAATCCTCGCTCCACTTGTCGCCACAATGCACTGACGTTCAAACCAAAATCAACCCTATCGACGCCAACGACAGATTCAGGCATTTGCTCCCTCCTCTTCTCTCCCCTCAGGTCAAGTTACGAAAAGTTGATGCTGATGATGATGCTGCTGTTGTGGCACTCGTAAGCACAGGCGGCACTGCGCACAAGAAGGAAGGGAAAGAAATGGAGTAAATGGGATTCATGGGGGAGGAAAGGAAAAGGCTTAATTTGAGAGCAGATGATATTCCTTCGTCCCTTCCATCTTCCTTCCTACTCTGCTCTGTAGGAAGTTCGTATCGACAAACACAATGGCAACACAGCATTGTGGACAAGAAGGGGACGCGTTTGCCTTCATTCCGCCATTCCTCCCCATTCCTTCCGTTTCGACATCCTCATTGTCTTTCCTCCAACCTCTCTTCCTCCTTTCTCCGGCCAGCCCCTCCTTCTCCATTCTCACTCCTCTTTTTCCTTTGCTTGTCTTCTTCCTACTTTCGTCCTCCACTGATAGTCTTAGCAACATTCGACATATTGCAGAGCCCACTCGTATTCTTCTGCGTCTCCTACCTCTCCGCCTTCAGGGCACTCCTATGAAAGGCAACGATGGCATTGAGCAGGTGATCAAATTGCACCAACTTCATATTAGACCTTTTACAGGAGTTCTCTCTTTCCTTTTCCTTAGCATATCAACAATCCTATTGCCTTACACGATCACCCATGCACAACTTGGTTCCTTATTTTTTACATTTAAGGCATTCCTTTAACCCTTTGACTGAGCCTCCTCAGTCTGATCAACAAGGTGGCTCTCTTAATTACATACAAGGACATGCAATAGACAATTGCTAACAAGCCAAGCACGTTCTGTCTGGAAGAGCCAACACCTCTTCGCCTCCAATTCAACATCAAGTCACTTTCCACTCCATCCATCACCTTCCTCACCAGCTACCTACTGATTGGCGATGTTTAGGAACGGTAATGTGTCCAATCTCGCCTGTCAGACAACCTCTCCATGGCACTCCCATTTAAAAAAAAACCAAAAAACAAAACTTTGCGACATACGAGCATCACATCCAGATGCAAACACAACCTGTCACTCTCACACTTCATTAG